ATTTAGTATGCAACATTATGGGCGGACTACGACCATCGATGCCTGATTCCGCACCAGAGGAATACAAGAAACTTGCCAAGCGGTGTTGTGATGCTGATCCTGATAAACGTCCAGATGCAGGGACACTTTATGATGATATTGACAAGCTTATTAGAGAAGTGGATAATGATAATTCTGATGACAACACGTGGAATACCGTTTATCATAATGATGTAAAACCGTTATCACGTCTCGAGAAAGAGAGTAAATATTCTAGTACGCTCTTACCTACTGGACATCTGCCTAAACCAAGAAATAGCTATGATATGGATTCAGCTGCAGGTATGACGACAGCAAATGGTTTTACACGCGTTAATATTAATAAAGTAAATTTGCAATATTAATATTAACCTCGTTCATTGTCTTATATTTAGTGACTCAAATTTTTGAATAAAACAATCTTACACGAGTTTACCTGCCTTCCAATTAAATAAATTGGTCACGACGTCGATGTGGTCGATCGATACACAAACTAGAAGTTTACCTATTGGCGGGTAAGATCACTCGAGCGTGTAAGAAAAATTGAGCAAATGTCGAGAAACAAATTAATAAATTTTATAGTTTGTCAGTCATAAATGTGACATATTAATTAAACTTCTCAAGGGGAAAAGGATTATGTAAGCGAGCGAACTTTTATCATGGTTAATTTATGTTTTTTATGGACAGTTTAGGCAAGGACGTATGCAAAGTTTGTCCTTGGTATTGGTATGCAAATATCGAGTCTTTTGAATGATAGACTTGTAAAGTTTGTGTTAATTGGCAGAGGCCACACCAGTTGAAGCTAACAATAAATATATAATTATTCCCAGTGCTAGTTGTGAAAATTTACACGTATATTCGTTTTTCAGCACAGCATAACCATTTGAGGAAGTATTAGTATTGGTGAAGGAAGTTTTTGGATTATCCAATTGCTTTCGAAGATTATTAACAACACGGTCAAATGAACTTCTTCGATTTGGTGTTCAATCCTATGCTCTAAATGAGTCAGATCAAATTTCGCGATTTACCTTTGAACCCGTTTATTCTGTATCCAGTACTTCCACCGTTGATAGATTATTAACAGACTCATTCTTGTGCATCTTTTGATACCCAAACTTTCAGTTTGAACTCTTGAGGATAATTTGAAGAATCTACTGAACTGACGATGGAAACGACTTGTATTTATACATAATTCCACTAAAACAATATGTAACTAATTCAAGTTTATTCGTAAAAAAAAAAGCAGAATTCGTTATTTTAGATAATTTAGTGTCTTCTCAACAATTTTGATGCCCTGATCGGATTTGGAAATCGTGTCAAGCAGAGGCATCAGTTTTCAAGAACTTTCCTTGCGAGAAGTGTGATGAATTGACGCTGGGTCAATGCTAAATAAACGGGACAATGAGTTTCAAGAAGGAGAAGAAGAATGAATGAATAAAGAATCATGAGATAAAAGTATATCTTACCGGACACCAATATCAGATATTTGTTTTTTATTGATACCTTTATCATAATTTCACCATTATCTGTGAATTTGATCCTGATAAATTTAATAATCGTTAGAAATCTAGACACGAAAGTTAATTGTGACCATAGCCGAATGTGACATTCTTACGCGTTAGATAACAGATTCATTATCACTTGTTGCAGTCTCTCTGGATCCGCCTTTACATATCTCGAAAGAGTCTCCGGGTCGTATAGAACAATCAATTCAAGCTTCCTTGCGCCAACACGCTCACCAAACATTGTCACAATCTTCTCTACAAGCGCCCATAAATCAAAGATGCGGTTCATCAATGTGAGCTTATGCGCATCCAATTTGGCTGCATCTAGGACATCATTTACTACGGATATAACCACATCAAATGCGCGGGACACTACTTCAACCATATCTAGTTGTTCAGTTATGTTCCTTCAAAGGCAGAAAGCGTTCTAGTAATTGCTCCCAATAGATTACGAAGTTCTGTTTGTTATTAAAAAAGAAATTAATACTGTGACAACAAGCATAGAATAACAAGACAATCTTTCTTACCGTGAGATGTATTGGCTAATATTTGACTCTTTGCTCTATTTATCTCTCTTATGGCCTTCACTTGTGCCTCTCGTTTTAACTTTTCTGATAGCTAAACTTATTTGATTTGAAACCTGATGCAAGAAATTCGTCTCGGACTTTGTCCATTCATGATCTGGCTCCCCCACACACCTCAAGTAGGTATTAGTATGTATCGTGGCTCTTCAACGCCATTATCGCTCAATGATGCAGCCTGCTCTTGTTCATCGTCTTCGTTTACCTGAATTTCTGGCGTAGTAGATTGGCTTCCCCCACATACCTCAAGTAGGTATGTATCATGGCTCTTCAACGCCATTATCGTTCAATGATACAGCCTGCTCTTGTTCGTCGTCTTCATTTACCCGAATTTCTGGCGTAGTAGATTGGCTTCCCTCACACACCTCGAGTAGGTATGTATCGGTGTTGATTGTGATTCTATAGGCCGGGTTTGTGCGAACAAAGGTAACGAACTCCAGTCCCATAATCCATCTTGCGAACTCCCATGACTTATCTCTCTGCTGGACTGGGCATATTTCTGATTCTTTTCCCATTCTTTCCTCAATTCCCATTCCCCCCCCACCCTGACTCTCACACCTTTACACAGACTCGCATAGACATAAACATGCTGCGTGTACGTACATACGCAACGCAACAGAATTGGGATGAGAATGCCTCTATTCACCTTCCTCAAATCTCAGCGACACATTACTCACTTCACCTCTCCATCTGATACATCCGAAATGGATCTCATATCCCCTGCCATTTCGGGTTTCTCCAACGAGCTCTCATCTCTTGCTTTCATTGACGTCGATTTCCGAGGCTGCGGTTTTTTGGACTCTATAGCTGAGTGTGATAATCTTCGAATAAGCGGGTTTAAAGGATGTCGTGGCCTCGGGGACGAATTCTTGAATGGATCGATGACGATTGGGGACGAAAATGTGGAATGTGGAGAATTATGACATGGCGTAGTTATATCCGTCATAATCTCCGCGTCTTCGGTTTATATGGTATAGACGCCGTACTCGGTACAGACACCATGTCTAAAGTAAGGAACCGTATAAAGGGGATAAGTTCGTGCCGGCTTTCGGGCATTACCACTCCTTCCCACCCATTCATCGAAATTTCTCCTCTTCCATTGATCGACCTGTTCTTGAAGCAACACGCACTCAATCCTTCTATCGTCGACGACGTAATAGTAGTCATGATAGAAGAGGTTGTGTTTATAGGCGGTGAAATCAGCTAAAGCGACACAATTATTACTACAAACGTTTATTAGGCATGTGCTACCAAATACTAAATTGAAGTTAAAAAAACCCAGCCACACTAATTTTCAAATGTCCCCTTTAATAAATCAATGTAATTTGATAATAGAAAGTCTTGCGGTCTACCACTAGCACTTTGGACGCTCCTCCTTCTTTATAATCTTTATTACTGGAGTATTTGAAAATAATATTTACCCAAATTCTTCTACTGCGATCAAGAATATTGTGATCGATGTGTTGGTCGAATCATCAAAGAATCCAATATATGCCAAGGTCCCCAATACCTTTATTTCTTGGACTAGAATAAACAAAAAAAAAAAAAAAAATGAACGATTTACCATAATAGTTAAACCCGATGAAGAGCTGTGTTGTGCTAGCAAAGTTTGGCTATTCTTTTTCATAAGGTGGGGTGGTGCTCCCTCCCTCCCTCTTGCGTTTGTTCACGCAGGCCGTTCACCATACGCCACAAAGTGCTGTGTTTTTAAATGTATCCTATTCATCACCACCCAGAGTCGGCACGCGTTCATGTTTGAAATTTTGATATACAGTTAATGACACCGTAACTTCAGATACGAACACCAAATGATTATCCAACCGACAACTTGCGACAGTCTTTAACTTGAAATAAAGTTGTGAATAGGTATAAAGTTTTTCAAAGCTCCGGCATTTTACACCTAGCAGCAGCTCTCGACAAAATATTTAATTATTTTTCTCACCTTTCCGCATTTAGTGTAAGTATCGTCTTAGTAGGAAAATCCCGGACCCCGCCTGGTAAGCTTTACGTGAATAGCGTACATGAGCGTTTGATCGTAAAGGAGTTCAAGTCTCGGACGCGTCAATTGATCGCAGTATTCATTTTATAAAAAATTCAGTACTTGCAAGCTGCGCACAACAAAACCAGTAAGACATTAATATGGTAACAGGCATATACTTATGCTTACCGGTTTATTTAAAAAGTTTGAATCAGTAATTACAAACGATGGCTTTGTTCATAACCAAAAGGCTTGAACGAAATAAATCTAATAATCGAGAGGTTCGGATTTTTTTCGTTGTTTTTGTATAGTTTTTTTAAAGCGTATTATTTTATAATATTTATGTCGAAGATATAATCAACATTAACTGGTTAGATTTAAGTAGTTGTCCTGTTTATATTTTAACATTTATTGCTCATTTAAAAAGCTTAATTACGTAATTATAATTTTTGCAGTTTACATGGGTTCTAATTGTTCCATATAAAGGCTAGTTGAATTGTATTGTCGACAGATTATCACATGTTTTAGATAATCTACAAACAAGGTATTATCTACAAACAATCTTATTGTTCAATTATAAGGGTTTAATTATATCTCATTTAAGATGACGATCTTGGATGGGAATGCAATCTTCCTTGGAAATTCAATCCAACAATTAAACGAGTGTAGTTGCTAACGCTAACCGCTTCTTTCTGTTTTTAGCAGGTCTGCTTCGTTATCACTTCGTAACAGCTTTGACAAATATATATTTATATTTTTCAAGATGCTAACTCCCTCGGCAAGTTGGAAATCACAATAACTCTTAAATTACTGTATTGTTCCATATAAACGGTTTAAAATAAACTACTCAAAAATTTTATTAATTTTGTGGTTTAGGTAATGTTTAAGTTTCCAGTCCTGGAACCCACTTTTTAAAAATAAGCATTACAACTAAATAATTAGGCGCCAAAAGCGCGCGCAGGTATTTGTTTTCAACTCGCAGTCTATTACTATTATTAAGTTTATAATAAATGCTGTTAAGCCTATCCCGTGATATTAAAAAAAAAAAGTGGTAGCACAGTTTGTTACCCTCACTCTGTTAACGATTTAATCTGAGCGATACTACATTGCCAGTATTTGGGGAATGTAATATGCTGAAATTTTTCGTGTCGACCAGTCCACGGCGGCTAGACCCTTCTTCCCTTGTGCCTTTGATTGGATACTTAGGAGAAGCCGTAATTTTGTGTCGGCCCGGTCCGCGGCAGATAAAGTTATGACTCAGTAAATATTTAAATTATTTTCTTGGTAGTCCCAAATGCATATCACTACCCACACAAATACAAGATAATATTCTCGCAAGTAATTAGAAGCTACAGTATAAATTCGGAAAATTAGCAATTGAGATAAAAAAAAACGCAATATTTTTAATTCACACTTACCGGTATGTTATTATTATTTAATATACCACGATTTATGTGAGTATTTCACCGCGTCTATATTGTACACGTAATGATTTTCTCGGCGAAAATCAAAATGCCGATGTGCAATAAGAAGAGCAATATGTTCATCGTCAATAGAGGAGCTTAGCATCGTGATTACATGTATCAAGAAGCCGAACCCGAACAATAAACCAATCTATATCAATAATTTTGATAGTGGTAGGTTTGAAATTTATTAGAATTTTTTTTGCTTTATAATTTTGTACAAGACGGATAAAAAATTCACTAATTGGGGCATCAACTTTTTGTATAATTTGCAGTGGGTCTGGAATTTTTTGAATCTGATTAGATAACCAAAAAGGAATATTAATTGATTACATGTCTAAGAGTAATAAAAATCCTCCAAACTGATTAGTACGGAAGAGAACTATTGAATAGCCAAACGGCGCTGTGCTAAATCCTGATTATAAATACCGGCCGATTGGTATAATCCTTAAACGCGGTTATGAAAGCTGCCACATATTTTTTTCTCTGCCGAATAAGTATTTCTAAGAGTATGACAATATCCAAATTTTGCGATGTTTCTTTGGTTTTCCCTTCGATGAATTTACTTTTACGATGAGGTTTATTATCCACATCGAAATATATCTACATGGTTACCGTAGGTATCATTACCAACTGGCCATATTTCCTTCAAGTATATGGCAATTCAGTCATACATGAAATGGTGATGCTGGGTTTCTTATACTGGACAAACTATATACAAATTGCTTAATCGTTTTCCCTCTCCAAAGTCTGACTGTCTTTGTCTTCCAATAGTCTTTGATTGTACAAATATGGTGTAAATTCAGTGTTGTCCCATTCACACCTCGATCCATATTCTTGATAAATTCACCAGTCTTTTTCTATCTTGGCATATCTATCTCGTCATTGCTAATAGAGGAATATATATCTAGAAGTTGAAAGTAGGTTAACTCCCTCATGAACAAAGTTTACTGGAAGAAAGGCCAATCATAGTCGCTAGGTAATATTTATATGAGATTTACATTAGACCATAATAATAAGAATAATAATAGGGCGGAATCAGTGTCGGTATTATAGCTGACGCTCGTTACCTTTGCCGGGGATTATGTATATAGTTTATTGTATTTGTATTTATGATTAGTGTGCTATAATAATAACTTAAAAGCACAAATATAAATATGTAAAACTTAATTTACTTAATTTGGTGTTGGACTTAGCACGATATGAATCCCAAGTATTGATATACCAAATGCGGGATGTTCGGGAATGCTGTTGTATTTCTCTTACCGTAAATGGAATCGTTCCAATAATTAGTTAATTTAGCCAAGTGGTCAAAAATGAATAAAACAAATAACTTATTATTCACAATTATTTGTCAATGTAAAAAAAAAAAAAAAAGATGCTTTTGTCCGGTATTCTCATGACGGTTTTCGCTTTAACTCGATTTTGGTTAGTGTATTGGCTAAATGATATTTATAATAACTCGGATCAATTGTTTTTGCCAAAATAGTCACTTTTACTCGCAAACATCTCGTGGTAATACTTTCTATATTTTTCACTTTCTCCCCTCTCCCTCTCCTTCCCCGCCCCCGTAGGCATAGATGAGTATGATGTATTTTGAAAAATACGGCTTGAAAAGCTCTTGGTTGTTAGGCCGCTATGCCTAAAACTCGTCTAATTTAACTCAGCCCGCAGAATATAGAGGATCAAGTAGGGTTAGGAGGATCGTGAGTAAAGGTAGTGATCGTCCTCGTGAATGTGGGGAAAGTTTCAAAATAGCAGTAGTATTAATATAGTGAAAAGACATATTTGTCCTAGCGGATTTTCCCGGAAAACAATAAAAGTATTTTATATTTTTATACGCATTTATAAAGGCCGTATATACACACTCGGTTCATTATAAGATTTAAAACTCTTCGTTCTCCTCATTGAATTACGTTCGATGTGTAACATGTTACTGGCAATTGATACGTTGCTTCTGGCTCTCGTAATAGCAAAGGAACAATGAGAAGAAGAATAATATTGAATCGAGAGATTGGGGAAACCAAAAATATATTGTACGTGGGAGAGGATAAATAAAGTAAGATTACAGTAAATTATGCATAAAATAAAAGTGTGAATGTATCACATACCAAACAGCGATGCACGTATTAAAAATCAAAACAATGGGGGAGAAAGATTATAATGGGGGGGGGAAAATAGAGACCAAAAATAAAGGATTTTTACACAAATTGGGGCAAAGCAAAGAAAAATGATTTTGCCGTAAAAGGTCCCACAAAAAGACGAGTTTTTTAATGGTCTATTATTAGATCTTAAAGATTGTTATTGTTCCCAATGCTGATGGCATTAATCAGATGGATATTTGGGTAACCCGCTCTCGTTCTCGTTCTCGTTCTCGTTCTCGTTCTAGTGGGATTAGTTTGGCGAAAAAGAGTGAATAGCGAAATCAAATGGATAATAGAACCAAACAAGGAAAATATGTGATGAAATAAACATTAGAACAAATTAATAAACATTCGATTTATTAAAGAAGCCATTATTGACGAATGAACTTTTCAACTATTCAAAACAATTGACCGTCAAGAAAAAGGCGGGTAACATAGGTTTACCAACATCTTTTTTGTGGAGAAAATATCATTTTGGGTTTTAACGAAAAATCCGTGGCCACCCACCCATATCAAATAATAAAAGGTCATTTCTGATTATGAAAATAAATGCGCAATCCCAAACTGTATTATCATTATTGTTGGATAGTTGAAATTTTTTAGTTTATATGATTAAAATATTTTCACTACAATCAGGAGATACATAGAGAAAAGGTGATAATAAGAAGGGTGTATTGTATATATCTACTATATAATTCATTGAACAACCCCTCCCTTTCTTCTCACACATATTTTCTTCCCATTCACCTATATATATATATATATACTCTTCAATCCCTACTGTATAGCCACTTAATATATAATATATTCATATTGACGATCAAGGCAAGTCCAATAGCCACGAGTGAAGGAAAACTAATGAAATGGTTTTTTTTCCTATTTTACAAAAAAAAAGAAGAGAAAAAAAAATATACAATAACATAAAGGAAGTGGAAGATATAGTACATTGGAAGGATTGAAATAAAGACTAATATAAAAAAAGGGGGAAGGGGTCAAAAGGTTCTTGCTAAATGAGAAGTAAAAATGTAAAAATGTTGGAAGGAACGGTGGGTTATTTCAAATGAAGATGGCTAAATGCAATTTGAAGATTACCACTCCAGCCGGCATGAAAATGAATAAATTTGACCAATGATGCAAGAATAAAAAGGCAATAAACACAAGCCCACAACGGAAAAAAAAACCAAACCAAACCGAAAAAAAATATATATATAACCAGAAAAAGCCCAATGACCATCAAAACCGTATAATAATTACTGTCCACCCACCAAACACATAGTTAGTTATCCCTAATTAACCCTTACTCCATTAATCAAAATTCCATCATACTCTATCATCTGCAACACGCCACCCGCATCAGCAGTGGCGCTAATAGAATCCGGCAATTCCCAATCGACTACATCGACAAAATCCTCTGCTGCCGGATCTGGAAAACTCTCGTACGCGTAAATCGATGACGGACTTCCGGGAGACGAATTCTGTTTTATATCCGAAATACCCATTCCACCTGCATTGGTCATTCCACTCACGCTCGAAAATCCTCCAACACTACTCAAATCGTTCCCCAAACTCGCACTTCGTGCTCGCGTGACTTTCCTAAAAAATACATTTGCTATTGCTTGCGTACTCAGCACGATACTTCTCGGACGTATCTTTTTCTTTGCAGACGATTTAGGAGATTGCTTGGAAGTGAATTTTGCGAGAAACGGTGACGAGCGAGACGGCGATGGGGGAACGGGCGATGTGGGCGTATGTAGAGGAGTAAAGTTTGCAGAAGAAGGTATGGAAGAGGGCGTGGAAGAGGGTGTAGAAGACGACAAGGATGGAATTACTGGCACGGCATGTGGATTAGATAATGACGACGTCGATGACGATGACACAATCGTGCTATTGAGAGCTGTAATCGTCGTCGGTGTCGTCGGTTGCGATCCTTGCTTTTTTGGTGACGCCGGCTTTGGATTTCTACTTGCCGTTGTCGCTGATTCCGTTATTACGGTCATAGGATCGTTTCTGGATGTCGTTATAACAGGCTGCGGCTTTGAATTCCTCCTCAATGATCGCATCAACGTCTTTGGCAATTTCTTTGCTGTTGACAAGACTGTATTTTTCTTTGGCGTTGGCGAGACGGGTGTCGGCAAAGCGTCCGCTCGATTCGGACTGACGGGAGGGGAATACGTCAAAGTCGATGTTTTTTGTTGTTGTTGCTGTTGCTGCTGCTGCTGCTGTTGTTGTTGTTGTTGTTGTTGTTGTTCTTGTCGTTGCGGTATTTCTGTTAAAGGTGGAATCACTATCGAAGATGGAACAAGTGCCGTAAGCGAACGCGAGCGAACTGGTTGTGGCGGCAGGGATGGATTAGGAGTAGAAGGGGAGTAGTAGTATGAGGATACTTTTCTTATCGACCCTCCTTTAGTCGGTAGCGGCGGGAATGGATTTGCTCCCAGTTCCACCGGATCTTCGACCTTTTTATCACCAGATATACTTTCTGTCACTATCATTTTGTTAACATTATTCGTGTCAATACCGCCATCATTAATATTGCTACTACCGCTGCCGTTGCTAATGCTGCCATTTCCAAGACATTCGCGCATCTGTTCAAACGTCATTACACTACCATCATCCATAGTCATATTTTCAGAAACTGGCTTTGATGACGAGGAAGTTGTGATCGATAATGTCGTGGCAGTCTTCTCGCCCGTTTCCTTTGTCTCTTCCTTCCTTTTCTTTCTCTCCCCGCATTCTGATTCAAAGACTTCAACTCTAGTTGACAGTTGTACACGTTTTGTCATTGCCGTTCGAGTTGGAACTGAAGGACTCGATGCGGCACGGGATAATCTCGTTGCTGGTTTAAGAACGGATGTAGGCGTTGGAATACTTGATCGCTGAGCGCGAGGAATCTTTGGGGGTAGGGGAGGTAATTGCGGGTGGTTGTGAGTCGGTATGGGAGGGGGAGGGACTGAGGGCGGAGGTGTTGCCGGGGTTGAGAAAGTACGAACTGGTATTAATGTCTGAGAAGATATCGAGCGAGTCGTTCTCTTTTGGCCACGTATGATTTGTGAAGGCATTTTTATCGTTCGCGGCAGACTTTGGTTTGGATTCGGACTTGACTCGGCCTGTACATTCTCGGTCTCAACTTGACTCGACTGCATATCGTGAGTAGTCTGTGAGTGTGGTGGTGTTGGTGGTGGCGTGAAAAAACCAGCTGCTGGAATATATGGACTGGCCTCGGAGTCATTCCTCCTTGCTGCTTTCGTAGGTCTGTGCTCTCTCCGTGCTTTGGAAGTATCTTGGTGTCGTAAGGTCGAGGGTGTGCTGCCTGTGCTGTTGTTGCGTTTCATTATAAGAACTCCTACAGGTAAATCCGTGGAATGCCCCAACTAGGATTCTCCTTTGTATAGGTCGCTGTACGTTTTTGGTTTTGTGTAGAGGAACAAAGGTGAACGGACTTTTTTTTTTTTCCCTCGGTGAGTGGGTGCTTGTTGTTAGATATAGAAAGAAGACTGTAAGAATGTATTAAATAGTCTAGCATATAGATATAGTGTCAAAATGAATGCACGTGGTATTTAATATGAAAGGGAAGTATGTACAGAAAAAAGTGGGAAGCGATAAAGTTGAGTTACCACGCTGGAGATAAAATATAGCTTGAATGTTATTCGGAAGCAGTCAAGGTGAAGAAGGTTAAAATAAGGGAAATAGAAGAAAGAAAAAGGCTATTTTTTCCGTATAGATAGTTAAGATGGTTTATGTATATTAAATATTTATTTGTGTGGGTGCGTATCTTTATATCGTTAGTATTTTATATAATATCTCGGGGGTTGGGGGAAGATCGTTAAGCCAAGTTCGTTTTTAAATAAACTATCGAATAGACGACTCAAATATTCGACCAGTCAATACCTAATATTCCACCTTTCGATCCATATACGACACTCGCAAGAATAATCTTCTCAGAACAAAATCAGAAGGTAAAGGCAACGGGGGAGTGCGACTTCTCGATCCCAAGTAAACTGTGTACTGAATTTGGGAGTTGGGAGAAGGTGCAAAACGGGATGGATGTTATATATAATGACTCGTGTATACATTAATTTATACCATTAGCACGTTTTGTGTCTGGTAGACTGGGAACACAAGATTGTTTGTGTGTGAGACTGTGAAACCGGTTGTAAGCGAAAAAAGGGTGGAACTTGGGTTTGTTTTTACTTGGAGTGTGTAAATTAGATGCAGGCATATGCAAGAAACATTAACAATATTATCTTGTGGTTGCGTGTAATAGTAATCGAGTTAAATATAGCATTTCATGTATCATGTATATCACATCATCACATTTAACATATAGATATTATTATACAACGTATTACCAATCAGCTAATCATACGCTATCATCTCACTCCCTATACATGATGTCAGTTCTGATTACATACTTTCTACCCTCGATAAGTTTAGAACCTTCGTGCCAAAGATGATGCTCGAAAATAAGCACCATTCCCGTTTCCGGAACCACTGGCACTCTTGCGTCGGTGTAATTGGCAACAAATGTCGTCTGCCCACCAACAAACCCCTCGTTCAAATATAGCTGCAAAGTTAGAAAACTCGTCTCGGTTCCATCCGGTCTTACATAATTACCATCCAAGTGCGCTTTAAACTCTTCCCCAGGGTCATACCTAAGGAATCGAAATCGCTCGTTCAACCCAACCGCTGTATGCCCATTCCAAGTCTCGGGGACAAATTGTCGTATGCGTTGCCAGAGCGATTCGGCAAGGACGGGGTCATCCCGAATGTAGCGTGAATTGTTCCGGACATCCGTTCGGAGTTCCTGTCGTCCGCCACCAACGTTGAGTAATGCCGGTTCATAATTGTTTGCTTCGGAGATGGCGATCAAGGCTGCACATTCTTCCAATGTACAGACTTCACGAACGATAAAGGCTAGCGGTTCTACAGTTCTGAATTGGGGTGCTGCAGGAAGAATGGGACTTAGATTCACTGCAGTTGAGACTAGTTGCTTGGTCAATGGTGATGAGAGTATTTTGGACATTTGTCGTCGTTATCTTTTTCGTTATCTTTTTTTTTTTCTTTTTTTTTTGGATGAGGGGGATGGGACGGGTTGCTTGCTATCTTGGTCTTTCTAACGTTACGACTATCACAGTTGATAATCTCGTGTGTTGGTTCGGTATACCTTTGTTTGTAACTATTCAACGAGCGATTGGCCTGTAACCTTAGTGATAACAACTATCGGAAGCTTCACCCGTCTTATAAATACAAGTACGATGGTTGGCAAACTGTTGCGCAGTATAACGCAGCTTCGGCTGTTCTTTCTAGTCACACCAACACTTGCATAATCCTCCCTTTAACGTCTGCACAACAAATAAACGAAAAATAATCGGTGATACGATAGATAGATTAATATGGAAGGAGGGAGGGAAAGTCTCCGCAACAATAAGTGAATGGAAAAGGAGTAGGGAAAAACTTTGCAGGGCGATTTTTGTATATTGTCCACGTTGATATCGTGCAAAGAAGCATACCGCGGGCATTCCCCCCACATACGAAGAGCATTTACTAGCACCGCAGCAGATTTCGGATTATCTGCTCCGAACGACTGTCACACAAACATAGTGAATATAATGATAATAATAGCGATATATAAAAAAAATATACAACGTTAATAAATGACTGTATTGATACGTCATTGGTTGTACAGTAAGTGACATAATAGTCTTGGTTTCAATTAACTATATAGCAAGTACGCTCAATACACGTCTTTGTTGTCCAATTTCGAAAGCTTTTTAAAACTTAGCATTATAGAAACTTGTCACAGTCCATTTACCCCATCCATTGATCATCAAAGCGAAATAGTCATATGATCAATAAGCCACCTTAAATTTTGTCTGCCAACTTGAAACGCCCTCAAATTGGATGTGTACAGTTAGTTTCTTTAGCAGCAGGGAGTGTGAACAGACATGGTTTTTTATCAACCTTATTTTTGTTTATCAGGGTTTCGTTTATGTTTGCGTGGACGTTCAAGAAAGACGAAATGCATGGCTTTTTTAAATTTATTCCCGTACGTTAAATTTTGATTCTCTTGCATTATTGTTTTGTTATCGGATAAACCGATCAGACCCAAAGGGTGATGATTTTTAGAAAACAGAATTTTTTTTATGCAAATAGAAATTCAGCACAATCATGTGTGGATAAAAAGTCGTTCTTGATCGAAATGTCTGCTATAATTGTTCTTTAACTTATTGTCATTAGCATGTCGTTTCACATGGTCTTTATTCCGAATTTGAGCTTCGTAACTTTTATAGTTATACAACTCCATTCTATAGATGTTTGACTGTGGTACTATTACTGCTTAATAATAGTAAGGAAAAATGCTTTACTTCTGCTTACTCGGGTTAAAATGGTACATTGTACCCACTAGTGTTGGCACATATACAACAGTATACTGTACATACTGGTTACCATGCCGGGTATTTATCATAGTGTATTCTAAAGTTGAATTTACACGTAATGTGGGAATTCTATAATTTGTAATCATGGTCTTTTTTTCTTCCGAGACTTTTAAAATAAGTAGTTCGTAGCAAATATTAGAGGAGACTAATAATTTACTAATACTTGGCAATTGATAGTTTGAAATACAAATTTACTATAGTGTCTATTATCCAAAGGCAATTGTAACTATTACGAGCTAACTACATAATAATTTATACAAACCACTAATAATAATAATAATAATAATAATAATAATAATAATAATAATAACCGTTAAAACTTTAACTACCAATTTGATATCCGTCAAAACCCGGAAAAAAGCGATCGGCAGATTTGCTTACACTGTATATTGTATAGTCGGCTCTTATCTATAGGTCTGACCCTTTTGGCATAAAAAAAAAGGCAACTATAGAAAGCGATGGCTATAGACAGGGTTAATTCCCTTATGTTTTATTATTATAATTGGGGGTCGTGACTATAGATAGGGGTTGACTGTACATGTTATCGATCATAGGTGATGACATCATGGCAATCTGGCAACTTTTCGCACCATTTGTAATTAGCGCGTGTTTAACTTGTTCCATCCGTAAAAGTGCCGGTCTTTCGACTGCGTTAATTAGCACGACCGCCGCAATATCTTCGTCTATATTGCTGCAAATTAGTAATAGCCAGAGTTAGGTTAAAGACATTTTTCTTCATGCCTCGTTAAATCGTTTCTGATTTGTAATATGCACAATTTTGTATAAGGGGGCCAAGAAAAGAGCAGGAAAGGTAAGGGCGGATTTGAAAAGGGAAGTTGAATTTAAGTCTATTCTGTCAATCACATGGATTTGGAGTCTCAATATAACAGTGTACAACGTTATATTAATTAATATCGTGGTAAGAATAGAAATAATAGAATTAAGATTATTCGACGCAATGAACCCTCAGATAAATGAAGTGAGGATCTAAACCACAACCCACCGGTTGGTCTTATTTAAAGAATCGTAAAATTACCGTGAACTAAGTAATCATCATCACAAGCTTAACAAATTTAACTTTGAGAGTATATTACAAACATTATTATTGGAAATTCTGATATTGCCATATTCGGTTTATTATAACTATAATGGAACTTTATATGGTACCCTTACGATGTAATTATGGAATGTTTAACCATTTATATTGAGTAGTTTATATAGCCTTTGACAAAAAGATGGTGGTAATAAGATAGATAAGATGGCGATGGACGAGAGGTAGAGATAAGATGGCGATGGAAGAGAGGTAGAGATAAGATGGTGAGAAGAAAGATGGAGATAGATGGAGTAGAAATTGAGATAGTGATAAAGATAGATAAGATACAAACATTAAACTAAGAAAAGTACGCAAAAATTTATTGTTAGTACAAAATTCAAAAATGGAAATGGGACAGCAATTTTCTACGAATGGTGTGAGAATCATTTATTTCTGTAAGACCAAATTTCCCTTTAAATTAATATTATTTGACAACGTCACTTACAAGTTGCGGCTCTTTATGTTTGAGATTGTAATTATCTCGCATCGGGGAAAGGCCCATCAAAGTCAGTCGACTGGTATACTGTACGGCAAAAATGAAATCAAAGTTTGACGGCAAGCTTACCACATGGTTGATTTTGCTTTCTGTTATGGTGCGAGTCTCGTTACAAGGAAGTCGCACCGTTGTCCGCGAAATTTATACGATATCAGGAAGTGCATACCAATTTACTGCTTTCGCTATTTTGATTAGGATGAGGAAACGCATGCCGACGACTAGCCAATAGTATTAATTTCGCTCGTGGTTACCAACCTATGCTATCACTTTTCATTTGTCATTTTCTATAATTGAGAAATATCTAAATTACAACGTTAGAAAATTAGGTGACTTTTCTAGAAAAGGTATATCATATATGCTCGCTAATGAAACAATGTAAGATTTCGTAACATAGACTGTATGAGTCTACACTCAATATAGAATGGCAATTCTAAATTTACCACACATCCTGTTTAGAAACAAATAACCGAAGGGTATTACAAGTGATTTGAAAGCATTCACTGAAACCTTAGCGTTACAACATGGGTGTCGCTAATAAATATAAACGAATTGTTGAAAGACGAAAAAAAAAACTAGTAACATTAGTACGTCAATAATAATCATTGATAAATAACAATCAATAGAATTAATCATACACAGCTCCAAAAATACTATATGAATATGCTCTTGATTTGGTTACTCTATTGTTGAATTTGTAATGCCGATATTCTTCGGATAAATTCTTAACATTCCCATTACTAATTTGTACCTTCTACTTTGGTACCATTTTATTCTTAAAAAAAGAACTCTTGGAACAGATAATCTCTTGTTTTTCTTAAAAAGCAACACCTTTGATTTTCGCACTCGTAGTCTGTGTATGTGAAAAAGAAATTACGCAACTGTGCCAAGTGCGAGGGTTAATGTCGTACTAATGTAGCGCAAGACCCTGCCAACAGGTCTAATTAACTCCCTAAAGTCAGGTGTAGCATCGTGTAACTCCAGCGGGTATTTGGTATCAAACGCGCAAAAACTCTTCACCGTTTTGCGCAGTAACTGTAATATTATGTATCGATGGCTATCCAGTTGTGGATATTAATGCTGAGAGTACCTTGATACCCTTGGAGACAATAATTTTAAGGAGGTCCAAATATAAAGAACATAGACATGATAAACTCTCATTACCGTCTAAACCCATGTAATTCTTGACTCAAAAATAGAACTATTTACATAATCTAACTCTAACCACAAAAGCATATATCAATTGAGTAAATGTTACCCATACGCACCTTGTCATACCATCAACACGGAGAACGCAGCTGTTTGAATAAGGCCACATTAGTTTGTCTGTACAAAAACTCGGTAAGCGCTTACATAGATTAGCATTAGCAAACTAGATGTGCATAATAATAACGCAAACAAAGCGCCCAACTTTATAAACCATTGCAGTTTGTGAGAAAGTGTGCATACATACATTTGATAACTGCATGTACAGTATGTGGGAATGGCGTTACTGGAAAGAACCCCGGTTATTACCCCTTTTGCATAAAAATAAATACTTGAATAACTTTTCGTTTGCCGTATTTGACTAGCATTTAACCGTTTGGATTAAAATAAATCGCATCCATTACCTCTGTTGTTCGAAGGAATTCTTATTTAACCGATTCTATTTTTAACCAAGATTGTTTTGTCAATACCCCGAAACCCGAATATGAAAGACGCAGATTTGGTTTCTCTCACGTTGATTCTAAAGAAAGAATGTCGAAAACATATAGACCTCTATTAAAAATTGGAGAAAAGTAGTCTAGCTATATATTTGGTATTTGTTAATTTATACATCGTTGCTGTTACACTTATTATACTCCACTGCAGACGTGCATAAGTATAAACAATGAACAAAACTAAACCGCTCAAAATAGAGTTCAATAATCTCACTCTCCCCGCCCATTCGCTTACGTAAGTCATTTCGATACAATATTGTGTTACCATTCCGGTCTTTGAGAGAAATCTTCTTCGTCATA